GAGCTCCTCATCGCAGCTGAAAATCGCAGTTGTTGCACGAGGCCGAAATCACCTCATATGTTTTCAATGAAATAATACAATAAGCCAAGCTAAACTAATTCAATAGGATGTTAATTTAACATAATTATGCACCACATTATAACATTGAGAATTAAAAGTAAGTTTCATAAAATTTGTTATTTTCACGAATTCCGTCTTTATCGTCGCTCACCTGCTTTTGTATGGCGTTTGGAATATAGCAGGTCGAGATACATGGCTAAATGGAAAAAAGAGGATATTAGCCTTTACCTAGAGATTAATCTCTTAGGTTTTCACACTTTTTCATAAGCAGTTCTTGACTGATACATATTTATTTTATATTGTTATGGCATAAATCATATAGTGTAAGTGGACTACAAAAATAATGTTGTATTTCATGATTTTGAACATGTTCACGCTTTCCCCGTTAAAATTGGCCAAGTACTTACGAAGATATGATATTAATCATTGTTTTTGGTAAGGTTTTGGTCAGATATTCAATATAATACCTTACAACCTCTGCCGATAGCCATTCAAGCAAGGCATTACTTATCAGCTAGAGAATGGTACAATGAAATAGAAACGCATTTGCCACTAAATTTTACAATTTTCAACGCAAATTAATGTTATGTGCTACTAACTTACCTATTCTGGGATTATTGTCCCCACCTCCTCACACTCTCGTTTGAAAAATTCTGGATCTACTCCTGATTTTTACACAGTTTTGAAGAAGATACAATTGTTTGTGGGCCTTGGCTATATTACTATAATTATAAGGAGGCGTTCTGATGGACATTTTTTAGGGACCTATGTATTATGCACTTTACAAATCTTTATTATTATTATTATTGTTATTGTTATTGTTATTATTTATTATTATTATTAATTATTATTATTATTATTTTATTATTAATATTATTATTATTATTATTATTATTTTATTATTATTATTATTATTATTATTATTATTATTATTATTAATAGTAATTGTTATTGTCGTGATGGAATAATAGACAATAAGGATTTGCGTCAGGAGAAACATGTATAGGCGAATTTTTTCGGAGTTGTTTTCAAATGTACTGAGTATTCGGTACATTCCCACGTAAGGTAGGGCAAAATTACACCTATACATTATTAATATTATTAATATTAATTTTATTATCATTATTACTATTCTTATTGTGCCTAAGCTGGCCTAGGTATGATGTTATGCCTACCTAGCCTTTTAGATGATTATGCCCAAATGTTATTCTAATTTTCCATTTTTAGGTAGTAATATGACTTTAGGCCTATATTTTTCGAGTTATGTCCTCATGTTGCTACTTTCATCCCTCAATATCCCTACTGTATACGCATAGTGTTATATGAATGTTAGATCTAGTAACTGCATCACGAAACATATTATAACGGCAACAGGTATAGTAAACAAGAGAAACGTTTTATTAATTAATTAATTTATTTATTTATGTTTATTTTTTGTAAAGTCTTCTGTGTACCTACAGTACCTATGCTGACTTTCTTTTTTTTTTGTGCATATTAGGATTGTATATGTTATTGTCATTTTCTTTTAATGTACCTATAATATGCTCATCAGTGTTTGGATTTTTTTTTCTATCTGTAGCAAACTTTACATTATTGTGACGGTAAATCATTTAATGTAGCTTGCTATCCATTAATCATGTCCCAATGTCTAGTTGTGGGAATGGTCAACAAACAATTATTATAATTATTAGTTTTAATTTTAAATGAAGGAGTTACACAAGGAAATTTATCCTCATCACAAAAACAAGCAGTAATAACATTAGTAGAAAAGGCGGGAAAAGATAGAAACAAAATTGAAAACTGGCGTCCTATATCTTTACTTGTGGATTATAAGATTGTTTCCAAAGCTCTTTATAACAAACTCATTAAAGTAATTCCACATCTTATACACACAGATCAAACGGGTTTTATTAAGGGGCGGTTGATAGGAGAATCAATAAGAACTATTTCCTACTTGCTTGAGTTTACCAAATTACACGACAACCCAGGAATAATGTTTTTTTTTAGATTTTAAAAAAGCGTTTGATTGCTTAGAATGGGATTTTTTTTAAGACTCTGGTCAAGATGAATTTTGGGAATTAATTCATTCAATTTATTAAACTATTATACTCAAATATTAGTAGTTATATAATTAACAGAGGCTTCACTTCATCTTACTTTAGTGTTAAACGGGGGGTACGACGAGGGGATCCATTAAGTTCGTACCCTTTTTTTTTATTGGCCATTGAAGTTCCCTCGTGTAAAATTAGAAACGATAATACAATAAAGGGGATACAAGTAGGAAATACAGAAATAAAACTGGTTCAGTACGCCGACGACACAAAAGCTATAGTAGAAGATGAAAAATCAGCTAAAAATGTATTTAACACTATTGAAGACTTCTCAAAGATTTCTGGTTTATATTTAAATAAAAATAAATCACAAGCCCTATGGATGTGTAGTAAGAGACTCTGTAAAGAAAAATCGTTTGGTATAAATTGGCCAGACACACCAATTAAAGCGCTCGGTGTATATTTTTCATATAATTATGATCAACAGATAAAGGCAAATTTTGAAGAAAAAATTAAAAAACTCAAAATAAAGCTGAAACTATGGAAAACCAGAAATTTGACTCTGTTTGGGAAAATCTTATTGATTAAATCGTATGGAATTTCCAATTTTATCCATCTTGCATCAAGTATTTTCGTTCCAGATAATGTTATAAATGAAGAGGATACAATTATTTATGACTTTCTATGGAGGGGAGGGAAAGGGATGGTAAAGAGAAACACGATCATTGGAACAGTTGAAGAGGGGGGGGGGGGCCTCAACATGATTGATGTTAAATCACTTTTTAAGGCTTTAAAAGTTAAATGGGTACAACGATACAACTCAGATACAGTAGTTCCGCTGCTTGGAAGGTTTTGTTTACAGCTTCCACGGTTAAGTGGGGTAGTGAAGTCATATTTAATTGCAATCTTGATAAAAGATATGTTAATTCATTACAAACTGTTCCACTATTTTATAAAGAAGTTATTAATACTTATATAGAATTGACTAAGCCAGAAGAGATGGATGTTTATTCACAAATTGTGTGGAATAATAAATTTGTTAAAATAAATTGTAGAACAATTTTTGATAAATATCTTTTTAAAAATGGTATTAGACTTGTCAGCGATCTGTATAATATAGATGGTAACATAAAAAGTTTTCAAGCATTTTCTATATCAAATAAGTATTATCTGAGGGTGATGAGTATCATAAATGCTATTCCTAGAAATTGGAAAGAAATTCTGAAACAAGGTTTCGATAGAGATTTGTGTCGGAAAAGAACACTGTTCATACATGCTGACCAAATAGATATACAAAATGCACATACAAAATTCATTTATAGACTATTTGTTAATCGAAAGGTAGAACCCCCAAGAACAAGAAATCAATTTAATACGGAATTTGGTATAGATGATGACTTGTGGCCAAGTATTTACGCTTTGTCCTTCTAGTGCACACGAGTAGTTAGATTAAATGTGTTTCAATATAAAATCTAAACAAATTGTTTAATGACTAATTATAAGTTATTTAAAATGAATATTATTGAGTCGAATCGTTGTTCCTATTGCAAAATGGAAATTGAAACTATGGAACATTTATTATGGTAATGTAATCTTATAAATTGTATGTGGGATACTTTTAAATTCTGGTGGGAAGCTTTAACAGGAACCAATATACCTTTAATTTTAAAAATCATCATACTGGGACATAATGTTAAAAATCCAGATATACTACGAATCTATGCATTTTAATTATTAAATTTCATTAATTTTTGCCTGTAGAAAAAGACTGTACTCATTAAATTTTGGTTTATTCCTTAGAACTCTCCAATTTCATTTTATTATGGAACAACAGTGCATTGGAAACAGAGAGTCGGCTCAAATGAAATTCAGAAGTTTTTGCAGGAGATTTGTACTGCTATAAAAATCATATTTGTTCTGACGTCTTTATCAATGCTAATTGACTGGAGACTGTTTAGAGCCTATTAATAGTATTATCATTATTATTATTATTATTATTATTATTATTATTATTATTATTATTATTATTATTATTATTATTATTATTACCATTACTATTATTATTATGATTCTTATTAACTCTTCTGTAAGAAAAAAAGAATTTACGATATATCGGTGATCATTACGTTATGTTATTGTTTTATTGCTGACTTTTTGTTTTTTTGTTGTTGTCACTGTTTTTGCAGGAGATAATTTGTACTGTTATAAAAATCTCTCACGCACCCCTACCACCAATCCTGCATTCGCCACAGTGAGTCTCTTTTATTTTATAATATTATAGTCAAAATTAGATGGGCATTCAACAAAGGGTTCAAAGAACAGAATGGTCTTTTATGAGCACACATATATACAAGTATTATACGCAAGATTAGAGCCTTCAATTAGTCTGTTACCGGTATATCAACATCCAGTTTTATTTTATCGTGAACAATTATTTCAATGTAAACATAAAAGAAGGTAATATTTATTTTATGCAACTTGTTTATTACGAACATACAGTGGCCGCGCCAGCGTCTGAAATCCATTACAATTTGTTTTGTTTTTTGAACCTATTTAATTTCAGTGCGTAGAGTTCTTATCACGCCATCTTAATCTCTCCGCCACACAGTGTAGCTCACGCAACCACGTTGGACCGTACCACTTTACTTAAGAGGGGAATGTTGGGCACCTAATCACAAATAATAAATGAAATAATATTGTAACATTTTATAATGTCTTAAATTCATTTTGGTCAGTCACTATATCTGATATATATTTTATGGTACTGTATAATCAATAAGAATACTGTATAAAAAAAGTCAAGGAGACAATCTTAGCCAAGACGCTCTATACTATAGTTAGAATTTAGCAAGCCTAGGCCGCCTTTGCCTACATGTATAATGGTCGAGTCCATCGAACCGGCTAAATCACGCTGCAGATTTCGAAAAATAACTGAACGTTTTTAAACTGCTCGTAAAAAAAACTAAACGCTTAATTCTAACTATGTTTACATATTACAAATCAGCAAAGATTTCTCTTACTTTTGATACAAAAATGGTAAACTTTATGCAAGTATTAGCTGAGAAATCGCTATTTTTCTGTCAACTTTACACCAGCGCGAGCCGCCTATCGGCGAGGCCTATCGGCGAGAACTGCCGCCTATCCTTTACCATTAGTCGATGTGTGTCAGATCGAGTCAATGTCTCTAAAGAAATGGTCATTCCGACGAGACTTTTCATCCAATCAAATTGATTTTTAGCTTAACAGACAGCTTGATTAATCTTTTTTTACATGCCGAACTGCCGTTAAAATCGGCCCACTGATTCAGAAGTTAGAGTGATTTTTGTAAACATGATCGCAAAATTGTGTAAACAGATAGGAGTTAATACACTGGGCGATCGCCAACTGACTTGGCTTAAAAAAAAGATTCCGACGACACCTTTAAAAAAAGGATTCCGACGACACCTCATTGATTTTAAAATTAAAAATAACATGACATTATAGCTGAATAAATAAGGAACAAGTTTCAAAAACAGCCAAAAAAATCGGTCTAATATTAACGAAGATACGTTAAAAAAATTGCTCAAAAAGGGCTGATTTTCAGCGATTTCTCACCGTTTGGCGATTTCGGGCCGGATTTTTGGAACACAAAACAAATTGTAATGCTGGGGGAAGGGAAAGTGAGGGGAAAGAAATTACCGGGGAGAGGGGGTAGAACCAATGCCCCTGTATATAATTAAGTTTCTTAGCTTACATAGTGGAATTTCAATAAAACTTTAATTGAACATAGCATAGGCGAGCCTGTGTGTGGAGAAATAAATTAAACAAACAAACAAACAAACAATATGCCCATTTAGTATTGTATTTGCAGGCTCACAGTAAATGCATCACTTCACCATGGACCTACTAATAATAGGTAAATGACTTCACAGTATCAAAGCAATCACCTGTTTAATTTTGCTTTGATTCAAATACAGGCTCGCCTATGCTATGGGTGGAGCAAGTCTTCCCGGATAAGGGCTATAAACCATAGGCCCAGTGTACACAATTGACATGTGCACATAAAGTATACGAACCCTTTTTGACGGTCAGATTCCTCAAATCTGGCCGTATAAAAATGAGCCTGGCCGTAACGTTGGAAAAGTCACGGCCGAACTATATTTGGCCGAATTTTGTGAAAAGTTTACATTTTTTCAATATAGGCCTAATATGAAGTACTGTAGACTTTTTTTGGATGTTGTTTTGTACAAAAGCATTGATTCTAATCGTGCACCTTTACGTTCGTAGTCGTACTCCGTGTCGAACTAGCACTGAACACTTACCGGTAATGTACAGTATGTCCCCATTTGGCGGAGTTGACGTAAGAGAGTTTATTTAAAAGATTAGTAGTTACATTTAATAATTTAAAATGTTCCGATGAAATTTATATTTTTTTTCATGAAGTTCATCCTCGTTGAAAACTTTATGAAGGCGTTTTATTGTTTTATAGTAATGTGTTCTTTAATGTTCGAACCTACTGTAGTGGAGGTTTCTATCTCTTTTAGTTGAGAATTGAATGAAACAAATAATAACATTCAGAGGCGAATTTACAAAGTTTAGATAAAAAGCATTTATTAAGTTTTATTTATTAAGGTTTGTCTTAACCAGGGGTGGCTCTAGGATTTTCCCGACGGGTGGGGGGGGGGGGGATGTTGCGGAAGTAGTAGTAGTAATTTTGACAAGTTAGAGGATTGTAGAGTCCATGTGCAAAATACACATAATTTTTGTTTCTCCTCCCCGACGAATTGTGGTTTTTCTCCCGGAATGGGGCAGCTCTCTCCGACAGGGGCCCTGCCCCACCCCCCGCTGGCGCCACCCCTGGTCTTAACGCCGGTTTGTGTTACCATACTACTAATAATGCAACTTTCATTCTAATTAAAGAGACCCATGGATTTTGTCATTGAAGATTCCATAACAGGCCCTTATTATTGCTATAGATCCACTACGTTATTTAAATCAAATTTAGATCGATCTTAATAATGTGACTTTAAATATGTCTACATGCTAGCAACTAATTATAGAACATATTTGATATTATGATGTAGCTGGGTATTTAATTATGGTGATTAATTATAAAAACAAAAACAGTGAAAGATTAACATTGTTCTGTGTATATCATTTAATTTCTTAATTTCAAACAAATGACAGTTGATTTTCGTGTAATTTTGGAAATTTAAATGAATATTATGTATCCAATGTTGTCTTCTAATCCAATTAAAATCTGGCCGAATTTTGGCCGATATCGAAAAAAAGTTTGGCCGAATTTGGTCGTGAGATGGCGTGTGTTTGGCAGTGAAGCCTGTGGACTATCTGGCAACCCTGGTTTGCACATCTCGACAAGTTAAAACAAAGTACTATTTTTGAGGAGAATAGTACTTTTTGAGGGGAATAGTACTTTCTATTGCCCTGCGTCTTAAACAATGATACCTAGAATCTATGTATGAGGTATTAGGCCTATAATATTTTGTATTTTCAGACTAACAGTAAATGTATTAAACTCAAGAATCTATACTATCATTCACTTGTTTTATTATTTCATTGATTCAAATACAAGGCCCACACAAAAAATGAACCCGTAAAACACGAATCCGTATGAGCTTGAATAGGCCTATCATGCTGGACGGTAGGTGATGCGACAGTGATATGCTGTCGTTTCGGTTTTAAACATAGATTTAAAAATGGACTTTGTTGTATTGTTGTGTATTTTCTTTTTTTATGCAATAACACATTATTGGTAAGAAAAAAAAAGGAAAAACAAAAATTTCCTACCGACCTTCACGCTTTTTTTTTGGTGGGGGGGGGTGGTGGTGATGAGGTTTGATCGCAACGTGGCCAACACAAGATATTTTTTTTATATGTTTTATTTATTTATTTAAATTTTAAATATTAGCTTATTTATAACAAAATAGATCAATTTTTAATAATCTTTTTTCATAAATTTGGGTATGTACTAATTTTAGAAGCTTATAACTTTAGAATGATGAATACTATATTCTTGAAAATTGGTATTCCATAGCTTATTTGATCATATATTCAGAATATATATTAACATTAAATTACCAGTTACACAAAAATTATTGACACATTAATTACAGTCATCGTTAAACAAATAATGGTTTATACTGTTTTTTTTATATTAATTGTATCAACATGAGTAGTCCCATGAATTCCAATCACAGATTTACCATCTACAGTATAGTTACTTGTCTATATAATAAATTTAACTTGATCTAAAGAGATCAAGATCACTATAAGTATTTAAAACTTCAGAATAGTCAGATGGCGCTTGGAAAAATGACCAATGTTGATGACTTCAATGTTCTAAATACTTTTTATGGTTTAATTATGTTAAAGTAAGGTTTTCTTGATAAAAATTGAAGCCACTGTTTACAACATAAGAGAAACTGGACTGAACCATGATTTTATTATATAAGAATTACCAAAAATGCTCATTTGGTAGTGCTGATAGTAAAATATGTGTTTATTGATGTCACGTCTGTAACAACATTATTATGTCACGTCTGTGAAAAATGTGACGAATGTTATTTCACAAAATATGATATAATATCTGGATGATATTTTTAAAATTACATTTGATTAAGTTTGGAAAGTAATTGTTTTCTGTGAAGTTTTACTATACTGTTTTTAAATTGATTATATGCTAATTTATATTACTGTGTAGAAAATAATAATTTGGCACAAATTATTGATATCGATCATTAAAATGTAATATTTCAACATTTCTTTGGTGAATATATTTAACAAAATTTGTTTTCAACATTAAAACCATTCTGAACGCACTATAAAACATGTTATGCTATATAAGCCGTGCCAGGAGACAAGATAATAGTCATTTGAGTTAAAAGTCACCAACTGAAT